GTTGTGGCGGGGGGCCGTGGGCCCCGCCACTTTGGGGGGGGGGGTAAGAGAATTGCTTGAGCCCAGGAGTTGGAGGTTGCTGTGAGCTTGTAATGCCACGGCACTCTACCCAGGGGGACAGCTTGAGGCTCTGTCTCAAAAAAAAGAAAAAGAAAAAGAAAATTAGCCAGATGTTGTACCATGTGTCAGCAGTCCCAGCTAGTCAGAAGGCTGAGACAAGATTGCTCAAACCCAGAAGTTTCATGCTGCAGTGAGCCATTATTGTGCAGTGTATGCCTACCTGAACAACAGAGCAAGACCCTGTCCCTAAAATATATATATAATAGAACCTCCATAGTTGACTACCTCCTTAAGTTGACTTCATTTTCATAGACAGGCAGTAAGCCTAGTTTCTTATGTTGACCACCTCCATATGTTATAGTCCCTCAAGTGGTCAACTTACAGAGATTCTACTGTGTATATGTATGTAATTGCAGAATTTTTAATTGATACTGCTACTTAGTGAATGTCACTAAAATGCATTCCCATCTTACCCACCAAAAAGAAATTTCCATGTAAAAATTGCAATTAGGAATGCTTTCCCTCTAAAGTATTACATATGTTGATACTGTTTATTTTACAGTGAACCACAGGTAATGGGGAGGGAACAAAACAATGTAATGTACTTTTCTGACAAGAAAAGAAAAAATAATATGCGGAAAAATAGGATCAAAAAGGAAGTTACCCTGGACTCTAAACATCTGCCCTTTATTTTTGTTTTGTTTTGTTTTGTTGTTTTTTTGTCCAGACAGAGTTCTACCCTATGTCCTGAGCAGAGTGCAGTAGCATCATAGCTCCCTGCAACCTCAAACTCCAGCTGTGGGCATACTGCCGCCTCAGCCTCTGAAGCTGCTGGTATTACAGGCACTCGCCATAGTACCCGGCTGGGTTTTTTCATTTTTTTCATGAGTCAGAGTCTCACACTCGCTCGGACAAGCCTCAAACTCCTGAGCTCAACTAATCCTCCTGCCTCAGTCTCCCACAGTGCCGGGATTACAGGCATGATCCACCTTACGAGCTGCCCTTTGTTTTTGAAAGTGAAAGGGAACACTGTTGATTTCACTATCTAGACTGTGAGCTTTTTGAAAGCAGAGACTCAGTTTTTCTATTTTTCTTTCATATCCTACCAGAATATCTTAAGTATAGTAGGCATTCCAATAGTATTTCATAAATTTAATATGCACCAAGAACAAAATGGGATACTACCCATGTTTTTCTATATCATATAATGGCAGTGTCCTAAAATGGTACAATAATATTGGTCCTAGAGCTGTTCTCAACTTTGTGTAATTTTAGCTTCTTTCAAAGTAATGGTTTGGGCTCGGCGCCTGTGGCTCAAGTGGCTAAGGCGCCAGCCACATACACCTAAGGTGGCAGTTTCGAATCCAGCCCGGGCCCGCCAAATAACAATAATGGCTGTAACCAAAAAATAGCCAGGCGTTGTGGAGGGCGCTTGTGGTCCCAGCTACTTGGGAGGCAGAGGCAGGAGACTCGCTTGAGCCCAGAAGTTGGAGGTTGCTGTGAGCTGTAATGCCACGGCACTCTACCCAGGGGGAATAACTTGAGGCTTTGTCTCAAAATAATAATAATAATCAAAATAATGATTTGAAAAATATAAAATGATAACCTTTTTTATTATGAAGTATTTCAAATATGCTGACCAAATTAGAACATGTAGTCACCACACAACTTTATCAAATCTTAACAGTCTGCTTCTAATATTTTAGAATCTCAGTATGTTACCCAGGCTGGTCTTAAACTCCTGGGCTTAAGTGGTCCTCCTGCCTCAGCCTCCTAAGTAGGTGGGATTATAGGCCCAACACACCACACACAGCTCTCAAATACTTAATTTCTTTCTTTTTTTTTTTTTTTTTTGGCTGGGGCTGGGTTTGAACCTGCCACCTCCGGCATATGGGGCCGGTGCCCTACCCTTTTGAGCCACAGGAGCCACCCTTTTTTTTTTTTTTGAGTAGAAACAGTCTCACTTTATCACCCTTTGTAGAGTACCGTGGCATCACACAACTTACAGCAACCTCCAGCTCCTGGGCGTAAGCGATTCTCTTGCCTCAGCCTCCCGAGTAGCTGGGACTACAGCCATCCGCCACAATGCCCGGCTATTTTCTGGTTGCAGTTAACCGGGGCCCGGATTTGAACCCGCCACCCTCTGTATATGCAGCCGGTGCCCTACTCACTGAGCCACAGGTGCAGCCCAAATACTTAATTTCTTAAGGGGAAAAGAAATTGCGGATACAGTAAAGGCTTCCTATGTACCCTGTCATAGGTAACCATTATATGAATTCATTGTCTTACTCCTTTCCGTGTTTTTATATTTAAACTAAATTTTATGTTCCTATAAATTCTAGTATTGTCTTAACAGATTTGATAAATATATTCTGGGATTTTGATTGGATTTACCTTGAATTTATAGAACAATTTGAAAGACTTGGAATTTCCCTGTTTTTAAAAGTCTTTCCGTGGATGAACATGGTAATCTCTTTGTTTATTGATATTCTTTCTTTTTTTTATTATAGTAAAATATATTGGTATTCTGTTATATCCTTCAAAACTATTTGTTTTTTGCTTGTTTGATATTGTCTACTCCCGTAGGGAGTAGCCATTTTATTCTCAAAATTATCAAAGAATTTAGTACTATTAATGCTAGACACAAATGACCTTTTGTTTTAGCCAGGCGTCCTCAAACTATGGCCCACAGGCCACATGCAGCCCGCCTAGGACATTTATCCAGCCCACTGGGTGTTTTTGCCCCCTCTGCCTGTCCTGCTTAGCAGCCGAGTCGTCCCGGGGCCCACAGTCTGGCCCTCCAACGGTCTAAGGGACAGTGAACTGGCCCCATGTTTAAAAAGTTTGAGGACCCCTGGTGCCTTATCTTTTATAGACCCGAAGATATTTTAGCTGAATCAGGACAGCCTTGCCAAGGTCTGCTAATCTTGTAGTGAAAGGGGGGAATTGGTAAGGTCATTTGCCACAAATTGGCAATTTTGTGTTTTTTGTGGGATTTAATGAGTCCTCTTGAGAATGGACCTTCTGTGTAACAAAATTTAAAAACATTTTATAGAGTATCCCAGTTGGCCCAGTGTGGTGGTGGCATACACCTATAATCTGAGCCCTTTGGAAGAGTAAAGTCAGAGGATCACTTGAAGTCAGGAATTCAAGACCCTGTCTTTTACTTCTTTTTTTTTTTTTTAGAGATGGGGTCTCACTATGTTGCCTAGGCTGGAGTGCAGTGGCTATTCAGAGGCACAATTCCACTACTGATCAGCACAGGAGCTTTGACCTACTCCATTTCTGACCTGGGCCAGTTCACCCCTCCTTAGGCAACCTGGTGGACCCCTGCTTCCAGGAGGTCACCATATTGTTGCCGAACTTACTGTGGACACTTGATGGGCATAGCGCACTATCGTCCAGAACTCCTGGACTCAAGGGATTCTCCTGTCTCAGCCTCCTGAGTAGCTGGGACTAAAGACCTTGTCTTTACAAAAAAGAACTTTTTTTTGAGATAGTCTCACTATGTTGCCCTCGGTAGAGTGCCATGGCAACATGCCATAGCTCAT